GACACCGCCTTGTTTCTCATGTTGTTAAATAATGTGTAAGGATGTCCTAGCGTGTCGATCACTGATGTATAATTCGGCAGACGATATCGTCAATCAAAAAGTAGTTAAACAAACATAAACATAAATAAACAAATGAAAACTGGCTGCCCAACGTGGAGCTCTTGGAGCATCGGACGACAGTTTTCGCGGTTCGGTACAAGCTTTCGTTAGAGCCGAGGTAGAATAGGCCTAGGGGTACTTCTCATTGCTAGCATCGGCGGTGTGCTTTGTTGAGAGCGAGGGGATCGGTTGTTGTGACATGTTTGAACTTGTCGACCCTTAGAGTTTTAAATTTTTTTTCTGCTCGCAAGTGTTTGTTGTTGTTAGTTTTCAAGAACGTTGTTGAGGTGGGACGAGAGCCATGCAGTCTACATCCTGGGGTGAGCAACGCTTAGAGCACATAGATTGTAGGCCAGGCTCGAAGTGAGTGAGTACGGAAGCCTCATGGGTGGTCCGATTTTCTGTAAACAGCTTCTTCTATCTCTTTTGGGCTCTGGGAGTCGGGCGTCATTGTTGTCTGGTATTGCGGCTCGACGCCGGGGCGTCGCGACACCGCCCGGGACGGTGGACGCCGATCGCTCGGTAAGCTGCTTTGTGCGGCGAGCGATAGGCCCACCTTACAGAGTGGATGTCTCATTGCGGCTGCCTCTTCTGAGCCTAGGCTGGGTGCTGGGTGGATGCCAGTTGTTGTCGAGCGACTCATTAGGTCTAAGGCTCTGCGCAGCTGCCTGTCACATGTGGCACAACTAGGTGGATCATGGCGTCGAGGTGTTGCATTCTGCTTCCCTTACTTTTCATCTCGCGATGCACGAATTAAGAAAAGTGACCTTTGTTTCATTTTTGAGCTGGGTGGCGGCCACTGAGGTATTAGCTAGCAGTACACCGAAGCTTTCTTCCCTAGGCCCTGTTCCATTGTTTCTGTTTAGTGTTTTGGAATGTACGCAGCGTTATCCCTCCCGCTGCATACATTCCAAAACACCAGAAACAACGTCGGCACGAGTGATAAATCATCGGGCTGACGGCAACGTTGCTGTTGCGAGACCGGTACTGAGGTGAAGTTGTCAAGCCAGACAGTGCAGCAGTGTCGACCAGCGGCGGTGTCGTGGTGCACGGACATTATGAAGGAACATGTGTTGTCATTTGTTCTTGTTAGAGCTTGTGTAGCTGATTTCTTTGTGTTTCGGAATATGGTTTGAATTAAGGTTGAGGGGATGTGGGGGTGCTGACACCCCCTGTAAAGTTGTTTGCACTATGTGGTGCACGTGTCTCGCCCAAAAGCCGCATTTCGGGTTACAACTACCGGGTGGTTGGTGGCGTTTTGTTCGCAAGCGTTAATCACCACTATCATCATCATCATGGTATAGCGCCAGCGGGGACAAGCCTTCGTAGCGGCGATCGAGAAATAAGCTGCTCTTTTCTGCACGTGGCGGTTGCCGCCAACTGTTGTCTCCAGCGTGGGTCCACGGTGCGTGGCACCATGGGTTGCGCGTTGGGCGCCCTAGGTTAGTCAAGCGTTGGCGACGCCGCCTTGGGTGTGTTATTGTGTTTGTCATGTTCTGGAGTGTATAGTAATATTGTGTAAGGATGTCTTAGCGTGTTGATCACTGATTTATAATAATTCGGCGAACAAGATCGTCGATCAAAAAAGTAACCAAAAAACATGTTGTTTGGTTTGTTTCGACCGTGTCTACTGAGAGAGAGAAGAAACAACATTTAATAATAAAAAAAAGTGATTCATCGCGGGTGAGGCCCTTCTTTCAAGGCTCCACTGGCTACAGCGGCTCGGCGGGCATGACCAAGGGTCGCTAGTGTGCTTCCCAGGGTCCGTTCAGCGAGTCGCGCCTCCCACGATCACGTATGTATTGGTTGCATATGTCCTATGTGGACTGTGACAGGTCGCTCTGGACAGCTGTAGGTAATATGTGTTAGTGTAGGAGTATCTCCACACCACGGGAATGCATTGGGATATCTTGCCGGGTACATAATGTGAAGCTGGTGCAAATTTGGGAATGAATTAGTCTGCAGGCGGCACCAGTCCCAAGCTTGATGTCTATTGAGGTCCTTATGGGGAGGTGCCTTGATGCGGCAATCCAATCTTTGTTTCTTAAAATTCCACACGGTGTCACTCCTTCATCTGTATCTTCTTCAGCAGCGGGCGGTAGTGGGGCTCGGCCACTAAGTACTCGAGCTTGGCAATGAACAAGAAGAATCGAAGGTGTTCAGTGCTTTTCTGTCGTGGCAAGATCCTTCGCAAGACTGTTCTAGTCTCGCCTTCAAGCTTGCCTGTGCTCAACCTGCTGGGGTGTTCTTGTCTGAGGGTTGAGTGGTTTTAACTTTCTGTCTTAGAGTCCGATTCTATAGTTTATCTGTTTCTGAGTCTAACCATATCTCTAGTGCTCATGTCGACTACTTCTCCTGGCCAGGCGCGATCCGCCTGGTCAGCGTCCCTGCCGTCTAATCAATTGCCTCTAGACTCCTTTTTCCGCAGTGGTATCGACAGCATTCCCGTGGCACTGGTACCTACAAATGGAGGCTTCATCAGACTTACAAACACTCAGGCAGTTCAAAAGGAACTTAAGACAACTTCAAACCATTTCCAGACCCTCACAGATGTGCGCCCATTTAGGCGAGGAGGTATCGTGTGTAGGTAGCCGGATCAGACCTGCGTGCAGGACCTTCTCAAATGCACCTCCTTTGCTGCTACCCCGGTGAGTGCTTTTATTCCGCCTCACTTTGCATGTACCAAAGGCCTTGTACGGGGAGTCGACTCCAAGCTGAGTCCAGCTGAGACCCTAGACAGGCTCTCTGGAGCAGGCGTAATTTCAATTTACCGGTGTAATCGCCTAGTCGACAAAGAGAGGGTACCAACCGAATCTGTCATCGCGACATTTCCGGGCACAAAATGACCGTCAGAAATAAAATTATGGCCACTGATCTTCCGAGTAGAACCCCTCGCTTCTCGTCCGATTCAGTGCAAGAACTGCTGGAGATTCGGCCACAGTGCGGGAGGATGTAAATCTAACGTTCGTTGTAGCACCTGCGGAGAGAGCCATCCTTCAAGCAAGTGTACTGCAACAGCGGAAAAGTGTTGTCTCTGTGGGGGCAGTCACTGCGCCGACAACTCTGACTGTTCCGCTCGTTCCCGGGAGGTTCAAATCCTGGAAGTTATTGACCGCCGCCGCTGTTCTCGAAGGGAAGCCATTGACATAGTTAGAGACAGGGCTTTTGGATACTCTGGTATTACAGCGCGCTGCACTTCCAGTATGGACTCAAACCTGTCGCAGGCTATTGAAACTGCTGTGGAAAAGGCAGTGAGTAAGGCAGTGGATAAACTCATATCTAACCTTTCCGACTGTCTGGTGCAAATTCTTTCAAGTCAGATTGGACAAACAGTACAGACTAGTACAGAACCTGAGGTATTAGACATTACTAGTGACGCCACACAGCTACGCAATGTAGTGTTGGACGAACTTTCTGCCTCTGCAGGCAAGGCTAAGCAGTCAGGAACACAGGTGCACTTGGACCGACATTCACCTCAGCCGAGCACAAGTACTTGTGCTCGGCTTAAGTCGGCTTAAGCACTGGCTTAAGTCTCTTGGAGCACGCAGAATCCCCAATAGGATGAGCTTCCCCGCATAAGGCGCAAATCAGTTGGAAAGGATGTCCGGAGGTAGGATTGTGTGTGCCACAAAGTTTGCAAATGGGTTTATCAGGTTGCGGGCAAACGTCTGCACGGTGTCCCTTTTCCCTGCACACTTTGCAAACTTGTAAAGTAGCACGAAATGGATGGCGAATAAGTTCACCTCCATAAAAATAGACAGTTCAAGGAAGCTTGTCCCCATAGAAAGTGAGAGCTGCGCTCTTGGTGTTGCCTATCATTCTGGCTTGCACAAGTTCAACACCTCGAGAGCGTATGCGAAGATGGGCCATTAGAGTTTCCATAGACTTATTGGGTTGAATACCATGCACAACTCCACGGAGTGCCTCTTCTTCCGTAGTCACATAGGTGCACACCAGGTGCGGTCTGCCATTGATGACAAGTTGTTGAAGCTTCCGAACGAGTTCAGCCACTTCGGAAAACTTAGTCGATAGTATGGAAATAATTGGACCCTCGGTTGAAATGCAAAATGAATTTCTCGTCCGTGAACTGTTGGGCGCAGGTTTCGATTATTGCTCTTGCGAGTTCAGGAGCAGCGATCACTTTCAACGGCAGGCCTTGGTGTGGGCGTATGACAATTTTATAATGATCCTTAGGCACTGGAGGGAGTTTCTGTACTCGCGGTCCCAGCTTCTTACTGTTAAGCATTTGTTTCTGCTGGGCCAAAAGCGTGGCAAGGTTTTGGTGTTCCTGGGCATGTTTATTGCGTTGCTGAAGCCTTTGGCTGAGCTGCCAGTCCGCTTCATCGGCGTTAATAGGATCGGGTAAATTGTCACTCACCGAGGCATGGCCATTGGCATTGGTAAGTTCCATCGATGTGCTAGCATCGTTGTCTGCACAGACGTCAGTTGTTTCAGTCACCGCGTCTCCATCCACGTCATCCATGCCTTGGGCCAGCTCGAGACGCTCCAAGCTGTAGCATCTCACCGCTTTCCCGGCTGTCGCTGAACCAGCGTTAAGGTTAGCAGGCCATCAGCTGTGGCCGGCGCGAATGTGGTGGCGATTTTCAGATATCTGCGTCCCGGTCTACAGATACACGCTCGTTAGACCCCGCGAAACTTCCCGATTCTATTACAGGACTTCTTGGACGTTATCGTGAGTTAAACGCCAAAAAAGAGAATTAATACTACAGAACGTGAAGTGAGGACATCTTTCATGCTTCGCACCCTCAAGCGTCTTGCACCGTGTCTACTATGCTTGTTCACTCCAAGAGCGTGGTGGCGATTACCACCTCCAGACCCCACAACGTGTGGATCTGGCACTTTGCAGCGTCACTTTAACTTGATGCAATGCCCACACAATGTTACAAAACTCAAACATAAACTCTTGCTGCATAGTAATAAATGAACGACCAGCTGCCAGTAACTTTATCTGCAAAAGAACCATTGCCACGTACAGGCAGTGGTGGTAGCAGTATGTAATAAGACTAACGTACCGAGCATGCTTTGGGCTAATTAAACATCACAACTTGGAACTATTGTTGCATTAAAAACGAGTTGCAGGGTGACTAAAATTTTGGCACTTATACTGCTATTAGAGATAATAAATAGCAGGGCTATACCATACTCATCAAGGATATGAAAGTGTATTGATGTAACAAACATTTGTTTATAGTTTTCTTGATAATTTCGATAATTCAGCATCAGGTTAATTTGAACATTTTTTCTGATATCACGAAATTCAAATCAACGAGCTTTCACTGTAGCTGACTTTCCCGTACAGACAGACGTTTCTGTCTCTCGTTTTAGGTCAGAAACTTGAAGGATTTGGTAAGTTTCATAAGCGATTTTGACATTGCTGCTCAGCCAAACATAATGTTTTATATAGTAACGAGGTTGTATAGGCAAAAAAAAAAAAGTGCAGATGGTTGGAACGAAAACTGGCTAATGCGAAAGTTTTTGAAGGGTGAAGGGCAGGCATGCTGCAGTCCTGTGGGCAGAACTTAAACTTATTCTTAGGCTAAAGGGGTACTGACACAAAATTTCGCGGCCGAGATATCCTGTGGCATCGATTACTGTGAACGTGCATTTATCATCTGCAAAATATTAACAGAGAACATAGCTTAGAAGGCACTGTAAATTAATTCTGAAGTTTGCATGAGCGATCGAGTGGCTCACGCTGTTGACACCCACAAAAGTGACCCTTAGCAATTCCCTCACTTCGCTCACGTGACCACGCTGCAACAAGTTATAACGAAGTCATAGCCGCCATTTTTCTTTTGCGGCGTTTGTACCAGCAGCCCATCATTCAGCAGCTGCTCGCGAGTATGTGGCGGTGGCGCACACATCGAGTTTTCTCTCTGGCAACACTGCAGTCCTATTTCCTGTTCAAAAGGACTTCTTGATGCGGAACGTGCGGAAGCGTGCCACAGTTCTGTGTGCTGACATGGTTGAAAGTTGCACAATCTAGGTGGTGATAGTTGAACTCAGCTGCTTGTCGTTTTTGGAGCTCTCAAACAGGAACCGAGACGGGTTGGTAGTGAGGAGCCCGTCATTAATGATCTGTAGCACGCTACAGCAAACGATGTACCACGTTATGACTAACAGGCCTCCAGCAATACATTGCAGCAAAAAAGCACGAGGCCAAAACTTTTGTGTCAGTACCCCAATTTAGAAAAAAAATCTATTACAATGCTTGACTTGGTTCGCACAGTGGCTAGGAGTACGCAGCTCCTGGTTTCGCCCTCAAGTAGACCTGCCGGGTCAGCGTGGAGGTGATGAAGGGAACCTGCTTCTTGCGATGCATATGGAGGTCGTTCGGCGTGTACGACTCGTAGTCCAAAGCCACGCGGTGGCACACCACTGTCAGCATTGAGAGCAGATCCGCAATGTGTGCCCGCTGTCGGAGCACCGAGCAGAGGGCCTGAATGAACCAGGAGCCTTGCATCGTGTTACGCCACGAGTAGAAGCCTACAACACAAGAAGGAAAAGCACTGTCAGCCAGAGACGTGCACACACAAACTGTCTACATATATAAAAAATTGTGGATCATCTCCCTGAAGAGCACCATGATGGGATGCGAAGCAGCAGCGGTGCGCGCGGCGTTGACCCGGTTGAAACGGGTGTCAAAGCGAGTGCTGGAAGAACGGTTTGAAACGAAACTTGGTGCAGCATTTACTCTAGTAAGCGTTTGTTTGAAACACAAAGACCCTGGAGGCACGTTGTGTTTTATGCAAGTTTCATCGCAAGTTTCGTCTGGTAGACCAGACTTTGTCGAAGTAACAAGTACATTGTGGTGGGTTTCCTTATAGACATGCTTAGATGAAATATTTTTGTGAAAGGTATTGATAGTAAGAATGACAAAATATATAGAGGTCACACACAGGCAATATAGATTCATGTGCACGCACATTTGGTATTCATAGGAGTGAAGTCAGGTAACACATAGTAAGATAGATTGCACGCTATCGTGCAATCTATCTTATGTTGCACTCACTTATATTGCTGAAATGACATTGAGAAGAAAGACGAAAGGGTGTGCATGAGGGTGCTTGGGTTTCAGTCTGTTTCAGTCCATATATTTGTAACCGTAATTAGGTGAGATAGGTTAATGACAACGATCTACTCTTTTGTTCATACCTATGCTACACTTGATGACAGTGCTGTGAAATGCCGCACAGTTCTTTGATAACCTACCTGGCACTGTGGAGTAGGCGGCCAGAATGTCAGCTTGAGTGGGAATACGGTATATCCGGTTAGGAGAGTCTGCAGTGTCCAGAACTGCCCGGGTGCCCGAGTCGAGTCTGTCTCCCCGACAGGCCTGAAATACCCTCAACGCAATGAGCACAGTGTTTTACCTTCCTGCTTGGGGTTTACTGCAAAGGTTAGCACAGTTGGTGACAACCTGAAAATTCCATAAGGGCTTCACTTAAACAGCCCTGGTGAATTGGCCCAACAACTTTGTAGAAAAACTGACCAGTTGGCACATACATTTTATTGCAAGTATCTTGCATACTGTTAATACAGAAGCTAGGCTTATTGAAAATGTCCTCAGATAAAATATCGTTGTAGTAGAGGAGACACTAGTATCAAAATAAAAAAATTTGCAACATAAGGAAATTGCATTTTACAACTATGACACAACAAAAGATCTGTACGATTAGAAATATAAGGATGTTGTCGACTAGTACTTCTTCGTACATCTATAGCCTAACTGTAGTTGTTATTCACCATCTAGAGCGAAAAGGTCACTCCTGGCATCTACCAAAGCTAGAAGTGTCACAGCTCAGTCTGCTGGAAAAGAAGGGCCGCTAACATAGATATTACAGCACAACATCTTTCTGTGTTCAGAAGACTTTGCGACTTTGCGACTTTGCAAACTCATGATTTCATAGTACAGTTGCATTGCATTACGAATTATACACCTTGCTATGATCGTACACACACCCAAGCTTATTTATCACTTTTATGCTTTCAGTAATATCAATACTTTAACACTTAGGAGAAAAAAAAATAAAATAGAAATTGACTAGTGTCAGTCCTGTCAATGCGAATGGCACTAGAAAACAAGTTGGACTAGCTAAAGAAATGCTGTGTATATTTGATTTTAAATAAGTACAGACATAAATATCTTCAATTTTTCATACTGTTAAATAAAAGGCCAAGCTGTAAAGAGCCTAGAAAATGTACAGGTAAGCCTGAGAGCACCATGAAAAAGTAATTGCACTGTTTTTCGGAGCTAGTTTCAGTTCCTAGTGCACCCTGATGTCTATATGGTATGAGCTTCTAATCCCGAGCTGCTTGCTCCGTGGCTCCGTTGGTGATGCACAATCTACAATTTCGAATGTTTTGGCACCAGACACCATCACAGCTAAGAGAAGAAGTGTAAATTTGGGGCTCCTTTTCTTAGTTAGACACAATATTGTAACCATGCAATGGGTTTATTTACAAGATGAAAAGATTAGAGATTTGTTGTCTAGCGCAATGGACAGAACGGTCAGCCCCACAACTGCTCGCACGCCACCGCCCCTTCTTCCTCCTCGTCTTCATGGTTCCGGCGAATTCTTGCCGCGTGATGACATTAATGAGAACTAGCACACAATAATGCCAAGAAAAGTATAGGGGACGTTATCAGAAGAAATTGTAATATAAATGGTAAGAAAGAAAAGTGATTAAAAGATAACTTGCCACCAGCCGCGTGTTGCCATTGTGGCGAGTGTGGAACACTCTAATTGCCTGTCGGCGTCACGTAGCATGTGATGTTATTACGAGCCGACAACTGACCAATAATTTCTCGCACATTACTTGAAGGCATTAAGTCTGCCAGAACAAGACCCACACAATGAATGAAGGAAAGAAGTGTAAATTTATGGGGCCCTTATGTGTAAATTTAAGGGGAAACGCTCCTCGAGAGAACTTTTTTTTTTTATTTCTAGTCATATACACTTCAAAATTTCGTTAATATAGTTTTTCATGGAGATTTCAAATATGCAATCATTTTTTGTGTAGCTGCTATAGTTATTGAGTTATGCCATGCACAATAGTAAAAAGTTGCATGTTGTGTGGGTACTTTTTTAGGCACTTAACTTTCAGTAAAAGCATTGTGTCTAATCTTATTTGACTCTTGGTAGATTGTGAAGTGCAAATATCTATTCAGATATGTCACAGAAATATTGAAACGAAGAAAAAAAATCGTATTGAATGACTAATTATTTTCAATCTCCCTTAGAACAATAACCTAATATTTTCACAACTAATGCTGGTAGGAATTGCGATTTCAAGTATGTATTTGCATTCTGCATGTGTTGAAGAATCTGTGTGCCAAGTTTCGTTACTATACAATAAGTATAAGTGTCTAAAATGCTGCCTGGAAACCGTGAAATTGTAAAAAAAAATGAAAACGAGAAAAACAAGTTTGAAAGTTTGGAAAGTTGGCATTTATTAAGAAACCATTTTTTTTTTGCATCAAATTGGGACACAATGAAAAGCAGCTTGCACTGAATGCTCGGAAGACCAAGAATCGCACAGAATTGTAAAAGTTGGCCATGGCCTGCGCCTATAGCGCGTGCTGCCAGAACTGCCTTCATGTTTACAGCATCGCTATCACGCGAGTTGCCGCTGTCGAAACGAGCGCTCGTCCCTTGGTTTCCAGCCAAAGTAGTACGTCTCGACGCGTGCATAAATGAAAGTGTAGATTCAGGGCAATCGGCTTTTTCACAGCACAGTTGGAGGAATGCCAAAAGCCCTTTGCGCTTTCTAGCTACCTCTCGGAGGCCGAGTTTCCGTTCGCGGCAGGTTGGGCATTGCGCAGCCGCCACAAGGGCAGTCAGTGCATCGATTTTGCAAAGCAGCTTGTTGGCAGAAGCAGCATCTACTGGTCTACGTTCACTCTAGAAGAATCCACTCTTCATTTTGGATGCACTGACGAATTCCACGGTTGCGGCTATTTCACAACCACTGTTTGGTGTGGAGGTTTGGTGTCAGTGTTAGGCCTATCCGAAGTCGGAGCACCGGGGCGTTAATCGGCGGTGACATCGGCGTTCGCTGTCGCTTCGGGAAGCATCCGATGCCGTTTCCCTCGACACTTGGGGCGAGTTATGAACTTTCGATTATCTAGAGTGCGCTTCTCGGGGCTTGCCATGACCCAAAACTGCAAAGAAACGCCGAATAACTAAATTGCGACGTCAGAGGCTTCGCTCTTTTGCCGGAAAGATAGGAGGGGGAGGAGACGGAGCGCACCGCTGACCAATGGCGGCCTCGCGTTGCTTGCCGCGATAGTCAAAATGCGTGGCGTATGCGTTGCTTTTCTTGTTTTTTGTTTATTCTTCGTGAAGATACAAGACTGGCTACTAGTGAATTGTGAAGGGGAAGGCCTTCGCAGCATGCGTGCACAATTGCAAATGGCGGCCAGCGCGTAATTTTCACGACAGGACAACGTGAACTACGCCATTTTTGGCGACTTTCGCGCATTTCTGACGTCACCGCTCTACACTTGGAAGCATCTTTAGATCATTTCTCGTGCGAATTTCAGCTTGATATTTTCAGAAGTAAAAGATTATAGTCCAAGAATTCCAATACATCCGCAAAAAAAAAAAAAAAAACTAACATTTTCCGGAAAACTGTGACTTTTCGACCCGCGTCTTCCTTTGAGCCCTTAAATATGCACTTTCCTTCTTTCACTACTACTAGTGGTTGTTTTCAGGAAGTTGGTTGAAATAGAGGATCACATTGAAAACCGTAGAGTTCCAAAAAGTCCACGTTGCTTGGTAACATGATTGGCTGTCTCAAACTTCACTCGAAAGTGAAATTCGGGGTTCAATAGCATTCACCTAGGCACCAATCTTCTCGAAAGTAGGCATTTATAGGCACTCATAGGCATTTAGGCACTAATACAAAAATGAGGAATTTGTAGGCACTATAAAAACCCTATAAAAGTCCTTCTTAACCTCTAGTTCAAGCTCATAAATCAAAATAGGGCAACAGGAATGCAAAGAACAATATGGGCATGTGCCTCAAATCTGGTATCTACTTATTATGCATTAACACAGCGATTACAAATGGCAACGAAGCCTTTCAGAAAGCTCGCAGCCGTTCCAGCTGTACAAATGCCGTTCTCGTTCTTACGCGTCACACAATTGTGGTGCTTCACGCTCCTTGTGTGAAGTAGACTCGCCATAATTAAAACTCTGATAATTTATACTTTCTGTTAATCCAAAAAAAAAATTCAATTTTTTGGTTGGCCTCCTATTCTTTCAATGCATTCAAAGGCTTCTTCATTCGAACTTCATCATTCGGTTAATTCATACTTTTTGCAGTTCCATACCGAAAAATATCTGCTGCTTTCTCACTAATATTTAAATATTTGCATGGTTATATAATCCTAACAGTCTAAAAATGAAAAATATGTGCCTCAGGCCTTCAAGAAAAAAGGCTTTGCTTGTAAACAGACGTTTAAGATGAAGCACGCACAGGGTAAACCGTGATGCTTCTCAACTGGTATAGAGAGCTTTGTGCTAAAGGCACATACAGCAAAAAAGCAGTTGGCAATTCGCGATTTTTTTAAAACGTCTGATCAGCAGTAAATGGCCAATAAACTTGCGGACCTTACACTTTGCTTTTTGTTCATTGCGTGTAGTTAGGGTTAAAAACACTTAAAAAGCTTTTATATCTGGTAAAATCAATGCCTAATCATTATGCATGGTGTCACCTCACCTACAGTCATATATCTGAGAATTTCTGATAATTCAAACTTCTTGATAATTCAAGCAATATTCAGAGGTCCTTTAGAGTTTGAATTAATGAGAGTCGACTGTACTCAGAGGATTGTCCGAATTAACCAGGTTGTGACAAAATATGACTGAATTAAAGGGAGTGTGATGACATGATAGTAATGCATATGATGGTTGGGGCAAGAGAACACATCTGAATTATACGATTTTCCAAATTAACGAGTTTAAAATTAACAAGCATTAGCTGAAATGAGCATTTTCTGAGCTTCACGTTTTAGCAGAGCCATCTCAGTTTACAGGAGATTTGTGTGGCAGACTGAACTACCTTAAAAAATTGGCGTCATTGACTCATCCAAAAAAAGTAAAGGACACATGAGAGGCACGAACCTGAATAAAGAATAGCTTTGGTTTGCCGAGCAGGCTGGAACAGACATCACCGTGAAAGGGCTCCATAACAGCGCTGACAGGAAACTTTCCGTCCGTTCCATAAAGAACGTCGGTTTCGCCGTGCGTTAAGAAGCAGCACACAAAGCAGTCGTCGTCCGAGTAGTCTTGCTTTCCAACTGTGAAAATTCGTGAAATCAAATTGGTAGCTCTCGTCGAACTTCCTAACTGCCACTTCACATTCAGAGATTGTATGAAATGTGTGAAAACATAGGCTGCCGCAGTGTAAGAAGAAAGTGTCACAAAAGTATTTTGAAAGCTAAATGTCAGCAGGAACAGAAAAAGTGGTCTTGTGGTCACACACACAGTAAAATTTTCCAATAATATTCTACGCAGGTTGTGAGAAATACAGGCTCTGAATATCGAATAGAATGTTGAATAATTCTAAGGTTTAAACAAATGTTTGAGGTTGTCTTTTTTGGACAACAGTAGGCTTGTTTTAAGTATTTCACGTGTGTAATGCCGTTAACTGGACATCATGTGAACAGACAAACTTGCAAGCATGCAATAAACGGAACTTGCTTGTATTTCATGCATGAAGACAACGAATATAATAAAAATAAAAAAGAATGTCTCCAGAAACTTGTAGCAAGGTGCTGTGCTCACGAAAGGATTTAAAAAAAATGTGAAAGGAGCTCACATTATTTTGGAGGAACCTAAATATAAAGAGACTGGCCAACTGTGCCAGTGTTTCTGTAGTCAACCATGACCGACAGAGTATGTTGCAACTGACCTATAAGAAATATCATACAGAATGAAGTAACTATTCTGGATCAATTTGAAGCACTCCCATCACAGTGTGGCTGCAACAATACAGCCAAACCTGCACATATCGAATCCACACATAATTATTGTGCATATCAAACAGCCGCAAAACCCCCTTAAATATATTTTCGATACACAAAACTTTTTATATATTGAACCACCTGTATGCGTGTGTGTGTGTGTGTGTGTGTGTGTGTGTATATATATATATATATATATATATATATATATATATATATATATATATATATATATATATATATATATATATATAACTTTTTTGTGATCATTCTATATACACGGGTTCAACAGTAAGTGATTGCCACTGTAACTGTATAAGCAGCAAAAGATCAAAGCCAATAAAATAATCTTGTACAGTAGAGGAATTCCAAGGTTTCACGAGTGAAATAGAAATGTCAATGTCAGTTACACGAGTAGCAATGGAAAGGGCACCAATATCATCTATCCATAATTCCTCTACATAATGCACACTGAAATGTACAATGTCAGTTGACCATTATCCCGCTACCATAGCAATGAGGCAATGTACGGTAGCGGCAACTTACGGATCTCTAGAGTTTCCTGCGTTTTTCTGCACGACAGATCAGTGTACACGACCGTCTCGAAACCCAAGTGACGGAAGCAGCTCCGAAGGTTTTCGGCGTCCATGTCTGTGCCCCTTCGCTCACTCAGCTTGGTGTGGATTTCGAAATTCTGCATGAATTATTGCAGAAAGTTACGTGAGACTCGGAAGACTTGATCACAACTTTTGAAGGAACAAGGCAAAAGCAAATATAATAATGTTGGACTGGCAGACCACCCATTATAATTTCTACTTTCATTAGTTTGTCATAAAAGCTGGCTCTCTAAAGAATGTAAACACTGAGTTTCTTGAACGGCACTGCAAAATTCCAGGGCTCTTACAACAATGTAACCAAGGGGATTTTGGAGTTTTTAATTGCCATCTTGGTTCCACAAGTACTGTGAAACCTCATGACACTGATATAACTTAGGTAGAATTACAGTTTAATTACAATAACAGTTTCTTAATGCTTTAGTGATCGTGCCTATTCCCGTTGTTAGTATGCTAACGATTACCTTAGGCTTATATTTTGATGAACTGGTCATGTGTGGACAGCTAATGCTATTTATAGGGTAAAAGATTCAGCATTTTATCAGTTTCAGTTTTGAGCTTCATTTTTCTGCCCTTCGAAGTTTTATACAAGCTCCTTCACAGTCAGGAAGGCGAGAACTCGTGATTTCGGTTCGGGCGTCGACGTCTCTAGTGGTGGCTTAACAAAAACAGCAAACTGTGACGGACTTCGATGAATCGGAGCATCGATCTCTGGGTGATGGTGGCAGTACATACACGTAAAAGAGTTGAGTATGGACGGCAGATCTGCGTGAAATGGCCCCAGAACATACGCAGGTGTTCGCCAACAGGTTTCCCTCTCTCCTTAGACTGTTTGTAAGCATATCCGGTGCATACTAAAGGTCACAGCTCTTATCCGCAAGGTGTCAACTTTTTTTCAGGCTGGGGCGATTAGTGTTGGCTGCATAAAGAGCAGAGTACTCTCAATGAAGACGGCTTGGAGTGGACCTTCACCTAGCACTGCATAGTGCCACGCGGAGGCTTTTCGACATTGTTTTTCACCACAGAAATTGTGAGAAAGACATGTAACCATACAAATAGGTGTATATGGATGCATATTTTTTAAAAGCCAATGCACAGTGAGCACACCTCCGGGTCCCCGCATTGGGAAACTGCTCCGCATGGTGGCATGATAGGCAGTGGTGATAACATTTTTGTACGAATGTAACTTTTGTACTTGAAAGCTTACATTTGCAATATTTTTTTTCCACTATTACAAAGGTTGTGTTCGAAATAGATATCTCGTTTTATTTTTTTTATGATTATAATTTTTCTTTGTTTTGATAAGTTTTTCATAATATTCAAAACAAATCTGTTTGGAACAAACTCTCTGAAAAATCAATTTTCTTCTATCATTTGACACCCTATGCTTTAGCATCAATTAATTTCTGGGGCAGGAAAAAGATTATTTCCCGAACTACCCCAAAACAACAAATTTTTCCTCGGTCATGTTAACTGGTTGGTTTTGCATTTGGCCAATGGCAAATGAGCTTTTTCTCAATTGGCACCGAAATCTTCACAGCTTATGGTAAAGGGAACCACTGGAGCAAGCCCTTAAAATTTTTTTTCCCGAGGAGGGACAATAACACACATGCTTTTGCAACACCTGTCATCCAGAAAGCCATCTTTAAAAAAACAGGAACAAAGACCGTCTATGAACAACTGAAAACATTTTGGGAAGAAAAATACTCGATTTATCACGATAGTCAAGAGTTTGACATTAGCCGAATGATGCAACGGCGGTCTGTTGCCCAGGAGGAGACTACCGAACTCTGTGCTCACCCTGTTATTGAAGATCACACACTTGCCCCGTCTCTTGTGCGACATGTTGTACTCTTCCGCTTCCAGCGATGTGGGCAACACAGGATAGGGGGATGCGGACTGCTTACCGAAGATCCTTGAAATGAGACAGTCACAGTTTTTAATGTTACTAACTGTTCAAACTTTCTAAAATCGCGAATCTTCCGCTTTCTTGCAAATCTCTACTCGAGTTTTATCGGTAGGAGCACTACTAGGGCCCAACATTAAATTGCTGAAAGTTGAGCCGCAATATGGTGTCTCAGCTTCAGAACTGACGTTAGACCTAATCTCATTTTTGTGCCTACAACTGGCTCATCAAACCTCATTTTGTTATAAGAGTTAAGGTGCATTTACACTAGAGAGACACGACACCGATTGTGGTCTGCCGACTGTCTTCGGGAGTGTCTTTTGTCTTGTTGTCGTTATTTTTACACTGCAATGACACAAACAGTCTGCCGATGGTCTCTGGAAGACTCCGTCCGCGCCTTGTCGTGCTCACAGCCTTTCGTTGGCCAATTCTGTAGTCACACTGGAGGCACACGCAGCGACACTGACTGAACTTGCACACTTGCACCTCAGTTTCAGTCACGCTCCCTGCTCTGCCCTTGTCCCTTTCTGGCCATGGCACAGAAACACAAAAGGGAAGTGAAGAAAAGACTTCCGTGGGCTGCGCAAGATTTCTATTCAAACATCTAGAAGGGGGCATTGTTATTTCTTCCAAGATTTTACCCCTTCGTGGTCGTTTGAAGCAAACACATGGGCGAATTTTTTCAACCGAAGCGTTTTGCTGGTATATTCGGTCTGTCATTACGTCACACTACGACGACATGCTGTCTTTTGAGGCATCGTGGTCGTCAGCCTAGTGTGACCATAGGGTCCGGTGACTTCGTTGGCGGGCGATCAGTCAGCCGTCGATTTGCGTCTGCCTCGCGTTTTCGTTGGGGTCGTGTCAGTGTCGTGTCGCTCTAGCGTAAACGCGCCTTTACCACCTTGGTGCAGAAAAACCATAGTTTATCAGTGCGGCTTAAGTTAAAGCAACCATGAAACTCAAGTATCAAGATCAAATTATGCATTGCGTGTATATCCATATGCGTCACGAAACAAGCTGGAAAAAACTTGTGTCCATGCAGTGCTGCAGAAAAGCTCGCATTTGAATTTTTTAACATAACTCCTGCAGAAAAGCTCGTATTTGAATTTTTTTAACGTCACTGTGCACAGTGTAGCATCTTAAGGGGACCAACAAACAATTGTTATGGCGAACAGTTTCTTTAGCGAAATGGAAAGCTTACTGGTGAGAGTGCCTAATCGTGGAATGGTAACTTGGAACATGCCATGAAATACTTGTACTAATAAGAATTTTTCTATCAGAGGCGAATATAAGGTCATAAACACAAGTGACAACCCATACTGCAAACAGTGAAAGTGAAAGCAGTTCGCGTTTAAGTGTGGTGGTTTGCTGCGCATGCGCGCACTTTGTGCACATGTGCCACCGCTCGGCACATTCAACTGGCTGCTGCTAAGGCAGGGCCGCTTGACACTATGCAACATTTTTTACCTCGGCAGCACAAAATAGAGCTGGAACAGATAATAATAAACATACCCTAACCTTTAGAACTAATTATGGCACACATGACAGCATCAGACTATGTGAACACGTAAAGCAAAGTGATCAACTCCATACTTTCAGTTTCAAGGCTTTTCCGCAAGGCTGTGCCACTTACCAGTTTTTCTAACTTTTGAACACTTTAAATATATAAGTTCTACTCACATCACAAAAAGGATGCTGAAATCTTTCACTATATTTCAATTTTATTTTTTCCTTCCTACTAGGATCTAATCACACATTTTGTCTTGTCGGTCTCTTTAATTGTATTTGTGTGGCTAATTCCTTGATTTGTTTTTGCAGGCCCATTAAAAAGGCTTTTTCAGCCCTTTTGATACAATAAAGAAAACAAAGCAGACCAACAAATAAACCAACAAATAAATAAATGTCAGAAGGTCACTCACCCCCCAAAAATGCTCCTAGCATCAACTTCACTGTTAGTACTGCCTAGAAGAAAAAGAACATAAGAAAGAGAAACATGAAAGTCTTTATGCAGACGTTGCAAGTTGTAATACAAAGTATAAATAGAAAAGTACGACGTTTACTTGTGTAAAACCTGTACTTTATTTCAGAACCTTCGTAAGGTGCAAGTAGTTTTTGATAGGTAGCGCCATCGGAGGTTGTGGTATTACATGTGAAAATTTACCAAAGCCAAACATGACATCACAAATGATGAACAAGGTTAAATGGCACAAAGATTACTTATTTATTCAACAGAACTGAATGCAGATAACAACACCAATGCTAAACAACTAAGTATCTAAGTATAAAAACAGTACAAAGAAGAACAGTAAATTAAGATCATGAAAACGAATAGAAGCAAACATGAACAGGAAAAAAAAAAACAGAAACCACATGAACGCATGTAAAAATGCATGAACTACTGCTCTAAACGAAGTAACTCCACATTATGAGGCAAGAAATTGCAGCCATCTACTGTTCTAGGATCTAGACTTCGTCCATGACAATGTGTGTGGTGACTGTCATGGTCCACTTAGGTAAATAGACTTCATAGGGTATCTGAAATGATGTTTTGAACACAAAAGAAGCACGGGCGCATTTGATCCCCACATAAAACAAAAGAAATTATGTTTGCACAAAGAAAGAGAGAAGAGAGCAAAACACACACACGCACATGCACACACACACATAAACTGCACTAAAAGAAGAAGGCAGCTGACAGGATGAGTCAGAAGAAATAATGGAGCTCACTTAGACTTACTGAAGAAATATATTTTGCCCTAAGGGCTTACTTGGCCTCAGACTCGCAAAAATTTCCTTTAAATATGGACTAGCTGAACTTCTCAATAGAACTCAAATTGATATTACTCAGCTACTCAGACTCATGGCCTGATATGAGAGAGTCAACTCATGAGAGCATTAGTAGAGATGAGCTTTTTTGACCATTCTGTCAAAGTCCTTCATTGTTTATATCCGGTGATCTGTGCACTAAGTGGAGCCTTTTCTATATGCTATCTTCAAGTATGAGTTATCAGTGATTGCAATCCAGTCAGGACATTTTTATGAAGGATGCGACACAGGTAAGATATGTTTATGAAGGACCTTCTGTGAAAGAGTTTGGGAGGAGGAAGAAAGTGATCGAAGCACCCCCTCCCCCCCACAGCTCTTGCCTCTGATTACAATGCCAGGCCTGCACAGAAAGTGCAGCACGGTCACAGTTAAAGCTGGAAGAGAGATGTTAGCTTCCTTGATTGCTTGTTCCTATATGCTTTAGCTCATACCCACCACGGGGGATTGGCCGTTAAACCAGCAGTTATTGTAATGGGGAAAAAGGAATTTCAAATTTTGACGAAAAGAAGTTATTATTCAATCATCTAGGGAATATAAGAGTGGATAATCATAAGGTGACTTATGAGTAAAGAGAGTTTACAATGGACCCTAGAGAAATGTTTCCAGGGCCCATTGTAAATTATCTTGTGACATGGTACCGACTACGCCATGAATGATGATTTCTCCCAAGTTGGGAAGCACGCAATGAGACATTATTTGCCATTCTGCAGAGAAGCATGGTACCCACTACACATCCGCAAAGCATTATGTGCACTTTGTTGATGCAGTGGCTGGCGACGAATTATGGCTGAAAGCTTTTTAACGGGTTGGAAGCTTTAAACGACTCACTAGTGACTTAATTTGCATCCCGTGATGCGGGGTCATTATTTCACTCTTCTACTACGCTATATCACATAGGTTAACGAGAGAGAGAGAGGTAATTTTATGGTGGTTTCGAGAAAACAGATCATGGGGGTTTTGTACGCTTCCTTGGCAACTAATACAAGTACAGTTGCAAGGTACACACTCACAAACGTGCACACACACGGGGGAAAGAGGGGATGCAAAGTATGTCCCATACATTGACATAACAGGAAGGGGGCACTGTGACGAACATTTGCCCCCCCCCCCCCCCCACCCTCAAGGGGAACCATACGCACGCTTATCTACACACTACGCTATAAATCGTCATAATTTTTGTGACGCAGGGATGGCTCCCATTTGCCATTACTGATCATATTGTGGAGGAGTGGGGTGCACGTTTTTGGGCACTCGTACTTCCGTCTTCGATGCAGTGTTCTTGGAGTCTCCGCAGTGCACACTGTAAGTACATTACACATAACTGCATTCGTACACGGTACCCATTTACACATCACAGAGACCCACAAACAAATGCACATGGCGCTACGCCTGAACAACGGACGCTGACGTGAAGGTTTCCACAACGAAGCTCGACATTATCGTCATAAACTTGCGACAATTGCCATACCTATTCGGTCGCGCGCTTGCAAGTCGTCCCCACTCATGCCGGACATTGTGCGATACTTGAAGAGCAGGAAAACTTGATCAACAATGTTCGACCTCCTGTACAGAGTTCAAACTTTCTTGGTACACAATGAATCACCTCGCCACACAAAAAAACACAAACGCCAAACACAAAACGCCGCTGAAAACCGCAGCGCCCCCACTAGTTTCAGTTTCGCCTTCGTGTCTCGGTATCGTTTTGCACAAAAAGCTACTGAAGGAGCGAAATTTTTGCGGGTCGGAATAATTCAACTCCGCGCCGGACGTACAGAAGCATTGAACATGCCAAGAAACAGTCTACGTGATAAATTACTGGGACACTGAAGTGGTTCTGCCAATATCGAGCGTGTATGAGAAGCCACAATGAGGCGGCAGCTTAAAATCTTTACTCGCATTATTAGGGGCGAAACTCCTTATAGCGGCACCCGTTCATCCCCCGTAGTATGTAACAAGTATAACATTTTGACCCCCAAGGTGGTGCCGGTGAGAGACTTCTTCTGTGCGTTGTTGAACAATAAAAAATAATGCTCAATGTACATGTCAATGGCTGCTAATGGGGAATGAGAGACAGGAGCATTCGGCTTTTAGTTAACGCGCAGGCTGAGATCACCATTAGCAGCCATTGGCATGTACATTGAGCACTATCTGACAAGAAAGGGTTGCTACGTTATACTCGCTGGGTGTAACCTCCTTAGCTTTAGAAAGGTTTAGCGAGCGTTGAGCCGCAGTGCCATGAATACAATGAACTTGTATATACCATGAATGAACTCGAGGTGGTTAAAAATGGGAAGTAGATACGAAGCGCAAGCCGTAAGGAAGTAAAAGCCGAATTCTCCGTTTCTCATTTCCCATTAGCAGCCATTGGCATGTACATTGAGCACTATCTGACTGAAAAAGTTTGCTACGTCATACTCGCTGGGCGTAACCTCCTTGGTTTTCGAAAGGTTTAGCGAGCGTTCGGCCGCAGTGCCATGAATACAGTGAACAAGTATATACCATGAACTCGAGGTGATTAAAGGTGGGAAGTGGACCCGAAGCGCAAGCCGTAAGAAAGTGTGCGTGTGCCACCTCTCGTTTAGTCCTTGGAATGTCCGCTGGATGGCGGTGCTTCTATATGGGGAATATATGATGAAAAGATGCGAGATGGTGGTACTTGGAGTGTTGAATAGATGGACGAACGGACACATAGACAGATGCATGGATGGACGCATGAACGGACGCAGGAGCGGCTGCATGGACGAACGCAGGGACGGACGCACGAACAGACGCACGCACGGACGGGCTGATGAACGCATGGACGTTCACGCTGACGGACGCATGGACGGTCACACTGACGGACGCATGGACGGACGCAAACAAGAACGAATGGACGGACGAATTCTTCGCCCCACTCTCCATCATTCACTCCGTGGATATGCTGCCATTTTTTTATTCCATATGGAACTACTCGCAACCCTTTGCCAGTGCCCCAGAGTGCAATAAGCTCGCATTTCATTGTGGGTTACGTTACTTCAGCTTGTACTAGTAAACGAAAAATCACGAGGCGTTCCACCCTGCGAAAATAGATGACCAGCGAAGCTGTGTGGCGCACGGCACAGATGTGACGCAGATATAATGATATGTCCTGAAACCGCCGTATGATTATGAGAGACGCCGCAGTGGAGGGCTCCGGAAATTTCGACCACCCGGGGTTCTTTAACGTGCGCCCAAATCTGAGCACACGGGCCTACAACATTTCCGCTTCCATCGGAAATGCAGCAGCCGCAGCCGGGATTCGAACCCGCGACGTGCTGGTCAGCAGGCCTGGGTGACGTAGAGTATTGACGAAATGTACAGAAATTTCTTTTTGAGTTTTGATTAGGCTCTTTCGATGTTTTCCATTTGAGCGGCATATGCCTTTTTTTTTTTGCCGCAGGATGCATCGCATTGTCTGGCTTGCCGCATGTGTAATCCGTGAGAGAACTTGAGAAGACAAACAGACTATGCAAGAAGATGCATGCTGCGCGTTGGTTTAAACCAAAGCGCAGCATGAATCTTCTTGCCGTAGTCTCAATTTCTCTAAACATTGGTGAAGCAGTGGCGAGTAGTAAAATTCCCCCGATTTGTACGCCATATTTGTCGATGTTTGGCACTCTTGTGTTCCCTTCTTACATGACTTTGCAAGGGCAGTAGAGACGTTACTAGAATATATAACCGTACGTTATATTTTTATTGCTGTATATATAATTTTTACGTATATTCTCCATCATTATGCTTCAATGTGGGCATTTGTCATGTACGCCAATAAATCAAGGATAAATTGTGCCCCACTTGAAAATTGGAGATTCACAAAATTTCGATGTCGGATTTCGCCTCCTAATTTTTATTTATATAGGCTCGTCAGGTGCCATCTTCCCTTCTCTTTTAATGCCAAGAGCCTGAAGACGTCGATCACATTTTACTTACCGACGTTTCACAAGCCACTTAAGAATTCGAAATTTTATTCAGAAGATTAACTTAGATTCTGAAAATATTCTTTCCCTTCAGACTTCTGTGGGCCACAGCAACAGGAACGTTTACGTAGCCATCTGCAATTTCCTAGAGACACAAGAAGAATTACTTGCTAGGTCATACCTATAGGTTGTTCCAAATCAATATTGAGCACTTTTAATTTCTCATTAATTTTTTTTCACTTCCATTAATAGTTCTATGCTTCATTCGTACGTAACCCTATCGATCTTCATTTTGTTCATATTCTCTAAATGACTGATTAATTCATTTTTAAAATTTTCAATCTGAACCCAAAGGTTTTCCCCAATATTCAACCAACAGTTTATTAGCCAATCCCCCATAGTGGGTACGAACCAAAGTAGAGGTACAAGCAACCAGACTTGTTAACGCAAGTGTGGATCACGAGCTCCGAAGGCACGCGCTTTCCCGACCAGCTGTAGCTATCCCCCAGATTGGGCTGCGCCAGCCAAGATGTTGAGGAAGCAAGCAACCAACCAGCCAGCCATGCAGCAGAAAACGAGGCGTCGTGGCCCCCACTTCGAAACCGTATCCAACGAGGAAGACAAACGCGAGCGTGGAGGAGGCCTCGGTCCCCTGGCGTCATCCTTCCTGGGTGTGGTGCTAACACTAAGCGCCATTGCGGTTGGCCTATCGGTGCTGCGCTACCGACGGAACAACCGCGACACCCTCGATGACGTGGGTCGTCGCTCATGGAACACATGCCAGTCGCAGCTGTGCCTGGCCCACTTCCGCAGGCTCAGGGACTCGCTGAACCGGAGCACTTCCCCTTGCGACGACTTCTACCGCTTCGCTTGCGGCGCCTGGCAGCCGCGCGTTAGCGCGGCGCAAACTGCTCTTCGCGACCTTCTGGACGTAGCGCAGCTAGACTTCATCCGGTACCTCGAAACACCGGCCACGTCAGCGATGACGTCGTACGATCAGGAGGGAATGGCGGCAATATTGCCCAACGGCAGGGCAACAGCACTCCCGAACGGTCATCCCGGACACCAACGCAATCGAGCAGAACGTGCGTACCACTTCTGCCTGCAGCGCGGCGGTGACGTCGCGGCCGACGTCGTGATGCTCAGAGAGTTCCTCGCCAACCGGTCGCTGTCGTGGCCTGATAGGGCGACCTCAGCGCCCACAGCGCATGAGCCTTTGGACGTTCTTCTAGACCTCGAGCTCAACTGGAACCTCGGCCTGTGGTTCACGGTGCGGATCTCGCCCCCTTTAGCCCAGGCCACACCCAGAAGCAAGGTCGCCCGCCGTCTCCTGAGAATCAGCCGCGGCATCGTCTCCAGCGGCTGGAAGAAGGCTCTCGACGCCACGGTGTCCCGCAGAGAGTACAAGGCCCGCGTGCGTCGGTTTTACGACGCCCTGCGAACGAACAACTTCGTTGCCATCAGCGACAAGGACGTCGAAGATCTACGCCGCGACGAGTCGGCCATCGCCAACGCACTGTCCGACTCGGCGAACGGCGGCCAGATCGAGATGGCATTTCCACTGAAGCAAATTCAAAAGCTGGCCACGCCTCACTTGACCACCGCTCAGTGGTTGACGCTGCTCAACTGGCACCTGAGAAAACACAGCGGCATCAGGCTGACCGATGCAGACAGCGTGCTCGCCACCAACGTCAGGTTACTGCAGGCCGTCGACAATCTTCTTGGCTTCTTTTCCGCCGACACACTGCTGTACCAATTTGCTTGGTGTCTCGTGCAGCTTCTCGGCTGGATGGTGGACCCAGCGCTACCAGGTCGACCCGTCGCGAAAACTCAGTCGCCGGCCGAGAACCGGCGTGCCGACTGTTTCTGGGCGGCGCAGAGGGCCTTCGGTCTCGCCATCTTGTCCGGCTACGTGTTGGTCAATTACCCGGCGTCAGTTCACTCCGCGGTGGACAATATCCTCATGACCGTCACCCAGACGGCCATCGACCTATTCGTCAAATCTCCCTGGATAGACCGCGAGAGCCGAGCGGCAGCCGTCGATAAGCTGCGTCGCGTTAACATTACCCTGTGGCCACCGGACGCCTACCTCAACGAATCCGTTGTGGACGGAGTCTTGAAGCAGTTCCCGGAACCCGGCGGCGCCGGCGTCACCATGCTTCGCTACTGGCTTGACGTCCTGAAGGTGCGCCGTTCGCTGATTGGAATGAAGAGCCGTCAAAGGGGAACCGAAGAGGACGCCTTCTTATTCTATTCCGAAGACACGCAATCTCAGCAGCAGGCCCTCTTCAGGTATCACTACTTCCCGAACATGCTTGCGGTCTCGCTACACGGTCTGCGCAGCCCGCTCTTTGTCGAGGGCGGAGGTCGCGCCGTCAACATGGGGGCCTTGGGTGCACAGTACGCCGCAGCCCTGTCCAGGGCATTTGACCCACGTGGCGTACTCGTGGACGGCCGTGGTTCAACTTCCGCTCTCTGGTGGGGCAAGGCGTCGTACCAGGAATATGAGCGACGGGCGGTATGCCACGCGGCCGGCGCCGACAGAGTCGACTCGTTCTTCGAAGGCCTGGCGGCTGTCGAGATAGCGTACGCAGCCTTCAACGCGACGCGATCCATAAGCGAAGGCAACATTCGACGGGGACTCCTAAAACGGAGACCGCAGACGTTCTTGGGACTCTCGGAAGACCAGGCCTTCTTCGTGTCCTTCTGCCAGGCGTCGTGCGCCCGCGAGCCTACGGACAGGCAGCGAATGTCCTGCACTCTGCCGCTGAAGAACTTTCCGGTGTTCGCCGCGGCATTCACTTGTCCCGTTGCGTCGGCCATGAATCCCTCGAAGCGTTGCCGCTTCTTCGAAGGGACAAGGCCGGAGCATGTCGCCGTCACGGCGGCATCTTTGCGGCCGCTGGTGCCGACGACGCGTCATAAATAAGGGGCCGATGGCGATGGCGAATTATCCCTGCAGCAGACACCCTTGGGATTGCACATGTTCTGAACAGTACTTAGCACCGTGGTCTACGATTGAATTTTTATTTATGGTTCAGAAAACAGTCTCAACAGAAATCTCATGGGTACTATCTGCCAGTATAATAATGAGTCGTTAATAGGTTAATAAAGAATAACGCTTGTTCGCGCGATCGAGTTCGCATGAATGTTGATTATGAGTAATGCCGTAGTGGAGGGCTCCGGAAATTTTGACCACCCGTGGTTCTTTAACGTGCACCCAAATCTGAGCACACGGGCCTTCAGCATTTTCGCCTCCATCAAAAATGCAACCAACACAACAGGGATTGGATCCCGCGACCTGCGGGTCAGCAGCCGAGTACCTAAGCCACTAGACCACCGCGGCGGGGCTCGCACGAATGTTATTGTTACGCTAAGTAAACGTGGCCAGTAGTAAATGAAAAGCTGTTTACGAAAGCGGAAGTCTTATTACTATCATGGGAGCGTGACCTTGAGTGAAAAGCTCAAGGACACGAAGTTACAGACGGACTCACAGCTCCGTCGTCTTGGTGCCTTCTCCTGCTGCGCAATTTGTTAGGAGTAGGAGTCATGTTAAAAAGCTCGATCATAAAGCAAGATAGATGACAATCTACTGGAGTTGGCTTTCTAAAAGAGACCATCTGTATGGCTTCAAGGAAGGTTAGCCACGTGCCACGCATTCTTAAAATGGTTTCAGATGAGACGAGCCATCTATAACAGCAGTTCACCATCGTAGCCAGTTCTCGCAACTTGCACATTTGTTAAAAATATTGATTGATTGATATGTGGGGTTTATTGTCCCAAAACCACCGCATGATTATGGAGACGCCGTAGTTGAGGGCTCCGGAAATTTCGACCACCTGGGGTTTTTTAACGTGCGCTCAAATCTGAGCCACGGGCATTTGTTAAAATACGTACACACTTTATTGGCTTCAAAAACACGTGAGATTGTGGTTATACGAGGGAAAAGAAGAGAAAAGCGAGCCCCGTAGCTGTCTGCATCAGCGTGCGACACCTCAACAGTAGCTCACAAGGGATGGGGATAAGGAGGGATAAAAAGGATAGGATTAAAGGTAGAGAGAGAGAGAGGCGCCAGGACAGCGAGTGACGACATAAGAGAGATAGGAGAGATAGGAAAGATGGAAACACGGTCACAGGAGTCCGAGGACGGGGCACAACTTGCGAGAGCTCTTGTCGGCGACAGGAGGTGGCGTAGGGCTCATTCAGTCGGACAGAGCTGCGCTGACGTCGTCGTTTATATCTTGTATCGAAGCGTACGCATTTCCCCTGGAGGCCATTTTCTCCGAACACAACGTTCCCCTTCGCAGCGGGTGCTGGGAAGACTCGGCGGGCCGTTCCCGAGTAGTTTGTTGCCGGAAGTTTCTTTCCCAATACAAAGGCAGAAGCACCCCCCCCCCCCCCCCCCTCGTCCTTCGACGAAGGGGCGCGCGGCCGAGAATGCCAGACGCTTGTCACAACTCGCCTGTGGAGCTTTGCACGATGGAGCACAGTTGTTAACGATAGATTAAACTGCCTAGCTGTTAAAATGTCGAATAGTCTTTGTCGACTGTCCCAGGAAACAACTGCGTGCTTCTAAAAACAAACCACTTTGTTAAGTTGGTAAACAACGCCATTTGGCTATCACGGTTCGACATTGTCAATATCGATTCGGGGACTCGTACAATAGATACGTAACTACAGTCGACGACTTGACAGTTAATTTTGTTTAGAACCTGTAGACAAGAAACATCTGTATTTTAGGACGTATTTTCTTTCCTGTAGTACACTCCGTGTGCTCTTTCAATAAGAGCGTAGTGCAATAGGTCAAAAAAAAAAACATTTAGATGTACTCAACAAGTTATTTATTTCACAAATCAATTATTTTATTGGGAGGCTTACACACGTAATCAATCTGCATTTCGCGACGTACTTAGAATGTCTCTGTGGGACACTCTAAGTACGTGCACCTTTTTTTTTTAAATGTATATATATAGGAAATAGACTAGCTTATCAGCAGTCTTGAATGATCTTCAGTACGGTTCACTTAACCCCCTAACTTCTAGACGCGTTCTTAGATATCAATTCACAGGTGGCGTAGTTGTCATACTGACAGAACTTCTGGCCTCGGCATGGCGTACGCGTCGATGGGCTTGACGATGTCATGCTCCCTGCGGGGAAAGGACACGCAGTAATCGGCCGTCGGCAGCACCATCTGGCTGGTCGACGGACACTTGAAGGCAGCGGCAAATTCCGGAGTGTTACGGAGCAACGTATTAAGCCTGCGTGGGTATGTGCGCATGCGCGAGACGAAACATACGACGTCAGAGCGCACACGGAGACAGTGGGGCCAAACGTAAAACACCAACAGCGTGCGCTAAGCCTGCGTTGTCGCAACATGGTGCGGAATTGCGATGTCGCAACGTAACTACGTGACGTCACGGTCATGCGACGCCTCAAACTGTGACGTTTCTGTGGAATGGTGTGCTTGGCTGTTGAGCAAGAGGTCACGGGTTCGAATCCTACTACCACATCACGACGAAGGTGTAAAATGCGGAATCACTAACATGGCGTACTTCGGTAGCCAGTAACGTTTCTTTCTATTTCGTCATCTAGAGCCGTACCTCGGTTACACAATGCACACACTAACACTAACATATTTAAAGGGACCACAGTTTTCCGCTGGGTCAGAAAACGCTGCCGATCGGTTCTCGCGAGCCAAGCATTACAGCGGAGCACACGGACCGGAATTTACAATTCTAAAAGTCAACTAGAAATTATCTCCTCTTTTTTTTTATACAATGTCCCATACCCACGGCCGTCGGCTGATTTGAGCATCACGAGCTGCATAGTTATCACGGACGCCGCGGGAGGCCGCCATGTGCCAGCGTGCGTGCTCGCGATCACACTGAGGTAAGGCGCAGTTTTCAAGGACAAACAAAATTAAAAAGTGCCCAAAGTCATAACGCGCGCGTGACCTGCTTAGCTTTCAGCGCGTTCCCCGGGACGAGAGAAATCAATTGCAGCGTGCGACAAATTTCTAATTCCATTCGTACTTGATGTATTCTGAAAATTTTTGTTATAAAGATTTTAAATGATTACAAAGAAAAGTATTGCAGGGCCTATTAACGCTACCATCTCTCACCCACGAACCAATTTGAGCGCTCTACCTTATAGTGCGGGTGCATGGGCGGATAATTACATTATGGTATTTTTCATGTTTAGATCAACGAGCTTTGAATAACCTTTACTTGTCTCTGCTTGTGTGAACTGATTCATGCTAGAAAAATGAACAATCAGCTTTTGCTGATATATTTTTACGCACAGAAAAATAACTCATAGTGAATAATGAATAATTATACTTTTTTGGCAAACAATAATAGTACAACAGTAACATGATCACGCATCTGGATGCTGTTAGGCCACAGTGATGGATCCATTACATGAAGACGTTCTAAAATAGATAAAAGTGAAGCACAGAAAAAAAGGCCCGTGCGTCACAAAGATTAAAAAAGTGACGTAAAGCGGAATGCAATCAAGATAAAAGATTTGTGCACTGCATATGCAAATTAAAATACACATATAAAACACATTGAAAGGAACCGGGTACTTGTTTTTCTACAGGCTCATTCTTCATTCGTAACTTGAGGGTAGTGGGTTGGGACCCCACTGACGAACAGGGAGATTTTTCATTAACATTATACTGAATTAAATTTACGGCATCATAATTATAATACTTTAAACGATAGAAATTAATAAGCTCTATGGTTTCTCTGGCTTCATTTAGTTGTGTTTAACGCGCAACACAAATATTTTTCTCGCTGCATCCGGAAATTGCGGTATTAATTTAGGAAACTGTGGGCTGATTTGATTCATATGGGGGGTTTAACGTCCAAAAACCACCATATGATTATGAGAGACGCCGTAGTAAAGGTCTCCGGAAATTTCGACCACCTGCGGTTCTTTAACGTGCACCCAAATCTGATCACACGGGCCTACAACATTTCCGCCTCCATCGGAAATGCAGCTGCCGCAGCCGGGATTCGATCCCGCGACCTGCGGGTCAGCAGCCGAGTACATGTGGGTTGATTTAGAGCAGCAGTGACACTCACCTGACGTGGTTCGGCGGCAGGAGGCCAAAGTCGAGCACCTTGTTGAGGGCGGCCGGTTTGAGCGCCTCGCACATGTACTGCACATTCGCATTGCCACACAGACTTGAAGGATCGGCGTCATGCACTCTTTTACGCGTCACTCCCTTCACAAACATGGACCTCAAAGCCATAGGCGTGCGCAACGTTCTTTTTTACGGGGAGGGGGAGGTACGGCGAGTGCAGGTACCTCCCCCTTCAGCTATTTTAGCTATTGTGCGTAGCAGCTACATTTTATTGTCTGTGGGCGCCATATCTTGGAACGAAATTGCACAGAATTGCTTCGTGGACATGTGCTTTACGGGCATACACTTTTTCTTAGTTCAACGATACTTAATTCAGTCGTATGGCAAATATACACAGAAAAAACTGCCACTCATGGAGGATAGCTAAAGATTTGGCCGACTGTTCAGACCGTGCGATATGAACATGTGGAGACGATTGCGCACAGACCTGCGCAGCCTCCGTCTCGTCACTGGTTAGTCCGGCGTGTCATGGCTGCTTGCTGCAACACGCTTCCCATAAGGGACAGCGTCATCGCAGCTTCGCCGGAGGCTTACGTCATCGCTGGTGGCTATAAAACTCAAGCTGCCAAGCTCAGTTTCATCCTTGCTTCTTTAACCCGCGTATTCTAGAACCTCCCTTCACTCAACGCTTCGCCTTCACTTGAGAAAGCCGATAGGAGCGCCATCTTTAGGCACGGCAAGTCACTGCATATCAGCGATAGTCTGTTGCGATTCTTCAGTAACGCAGCGTCGTTTTCAGCCAAATGGTGGCGCAGTGCTCAACTCTGTCAAGTGAATGG